GTCCTTTGCGTATTTGGTGATAGAAACGTTTATTTGTGGCTTTGTTTGTTTTACGGTACTCGAAGCTGAATTAAGGGGGAATTATTCTATCTTCGGATTAAGATCTATCATTGTAAATAGAGTAGATTCTAAATGTTAAAATTGTAAATTTATTCACATAACATTTTAGTCATTGTGCTCCTACGTAACAATTTTTTCCAACCAAAAAGAATTTCAAAAAACACTCTGGGATGTTTTTCCCAAATTTTGGAGTTTCCACTGCATAAGCGAAAAAGTTTTCAGACAATTAAAAAGGAGTGCAAAAATTGCTAGAATTGTCAGTGTGTTTACAACTACTTTGATAGTTGTCGGTGGAGTGCTTATTCTTCCTATTACTGGAAATGAATATTATTTTTATTTGCCCGTTAAAATCTACGTGGACTACGTGGGGAAGGGAGACACTTTGTTTATTATATTTTTTTATATATCTTTTATTTATATTGGTTTAATTGTTTAATTATAATTTCCCCTTCGATTTGCTTGACGTATCTAACAATGCATCTCACATTTCAGTGTTTTTTGTTGAGTGAGAAGATTAAACAAATTGATAACTATTTGCTTAAGTGTCAACAAGAAAACAAAAAAATTGGGGAAAGCTCTCAAACGTATGTTCGCAAAGAATTAATGCATTGTGTATTACTTCATCAGAACTTAATCCAGTAAGTAGTTATCACATTGAAAATTACATATGTCGAATGTCTTTTTTAAGCTATTTTAATATAGTAGGTACTCACCGTTTATCTATTTTTTATCGTCCGTTTTAACAAAATTTATTTTTATTTTAAACCGATTTATAAAAAAAACAACTAATAAATCGAATTTCATCTTGTTTTGCTATTGCTACTAAAAATAAATTGACTTTTATCACCACCTAGTCCTAATATATATATAATTTATTGACCAACATGAATAAAAAATTTTTAAACACGTTGTTATTGACAAAATATTAACAGTAATAACTTAATAAGTCTAAATTACTGGTGCATTTTTTGCAAGATTCACTTTTGTCACATAGTTTTCGAATTTTCAAAAATTCAAAAAAATTGCAACCACATTTGCAATTCCACTCTTGTAAATAAAAATTGTTGGTGACTTATTTGGGACAACCTGTATACATACTAAATTCGGGGACAAATTCTGTTTATTAACTTAAACATGAATTCTGTGTTAATTTTTGTTGTTCTATGTTCTTTGCATATTTGTTTTAACATTGTTACAGATTTGGTAAAAGAATCAACGATCTCATTTATTATCCAGCGTTTGGATTTACATTTTCCGGTTTGATCGTAGGCGTGTGTCTAATCTACTTAGTGGTAGGTTTTAAAAATATATATGTATGTTTTTAATTAAAAACAAAACATTTTTCTTTTAAAACAAGTTTTTTTCACCTACATTGTAAACTTAGTATCACTTGCTATAAAAACATGACAAATGTCATAAATAACAGTAATAAATAATTGTTTAAGTGAACAAAATTAAGAAAACTCTTTTAATACAGTATGTACTTAGTTGTTATTTATTTAAAAGCGAATATAGTCATTATTTTAATTTTCTAGCAAAATGCCTCAGAACATATTTTTGTTTGTGCACTTATGGTCGGAGTGAGTACCATCATTACCATGGTATTTGTTATTACTGGTCAAATGGTGGAAACTGAGGTCTCTTAAACAGACTAACTTTTATATCTAAATGATATCTAATCTATTTTAGTCGGCAAATATCTATCATTCACTCATTAACTTTCCGTGGTACCTATTAAATGTCAGAAACAGGAAGTTTTTTGGATTTATACTTATGCAGGCACAACATTTTACTGTTTTGTCTAGTTCTGGTCTTGTGTTTATCAACTATAGATTATTAATTCTGGTATCATTTTCTTATCCGGTAACAACTGTACTTTTAAAATAATTATTTTCAGCTTCTAAGAAATATTGATTCTATTATAACATTTCTAGCGAATTTTAGTAAATAACAATTAACATGTATTTTCGCTAACATATCGGAATCTGTGACGATGTGGTTATATGTGCTATATTGCTGCTTAATAATATTTCGCATTATTACAGTATAATAAAGTAGTCATTAAATATCAATAAAAATTTAAACAATCCGCCTACTATCTTCATTAGACGGAACAAAAAATCTATAAAAATCATATATTTATATTATTATAAATAGTTTCAATGTAGTCGTAAAGGAATATGTATCCCGACCAAACGTCTAAGGCACTAACAAAAGGTAATCTGTAATTTTTACTTCCCGAGCGTAAGCAAAGGAAGTATTGTAATCGAGTTCGTCGGCCGACTCTCTGCTTTTACGTTTTCTCGATCTTTCATGACCCCTAGAAGACGAAGAAATAGGTCTCCCATTTCCGTCTGTCTGTCCGTCCGTCTGTCCGTCCGTCTGTCTGTCCGTCTGTCCGTCTGTCTGTCCGTCTGTCCGTCTGTCCGTCCGTCTGTCCGTCCGTCTGTCCGTCTGCCGTCCCGGATTTTTATTAGACAGATAATCTCCGAAAGTACTGGACCGATTGTTGTGAAATTTTGTACTTATATTAGGAATATCATGTAGATGGTAAAACGCTAACCAAAATTTGTCTAATCATCCCCACCACTAATGCGATGACGTCACTTCAAAATTGTACATAGTAAATAGGTCTTAAATTGTATAAAATAACATAGTCCTACACATGTAGTTTACGACTCCGAATTCAGTTTTTACCCGAAACGTCCAGATTTTTGGAAAAAAAATCAAAATTATAAAACAACATTTTGCAATTTAATTTTGAATCTGCTAACCCGAATGTTTTGAAATGTTGCAGATGTTTTAAGGCTCTAAAGAGCATCATAAATCTTTAGTCAAAATATATTTGGTTACTCCAAAAACTTGATGACGTCAGCTCAAAAGTTTGCCAAATAAATCCTATCTAAAATGTACAAAATATGATGCGTCTGTGCTTGTGATATATCACTCCATTCATATTTTTTGGATTTGCATATACAGGGTGACTCAAAAAAATTAATGAATGCGCAAAATTTATTTTACTGATTTACTCATTAACTACAAAACCGAATGCTTTGAAATCTTGGAGATATTTTAAAGTTATTATAAGCATGGTAAATTTTTTATCAAAATGTATTTGGTCGTCCCTCCTAAAAAATTTATGACGTCACCACAAAATTTTGCCGAATAAATCCTATCTAAAATGTACAAAATATGGTGAGTCTCTTCTTGTGATTTATCATTCCATTCAAATTTTTTCGATTTGCATATACAGGGTGACTGAAAAAAATTAATGAATGCGTCAATTTATTTTATTGATTTAATCAGGAGTTACATAATCGAATGCTTTGAAATCTTGGAGATGTTTTAAAGTTACCATAAGCATGGTAATTTTTTTATCAAAATGTATTTGCTCTTCCCCCCTAAAAAAATCGATGACGTCACCCTAAAATTTGGTGAATAAATCCTATCTAAAATGTGAAAAATATGATGAGTCTCTACTTGTGATTTATCACTCCGTTCATATTTTTTCGATTTGCATATATAGGGTGACTGAAAAAAATTATTGAATGCGTCAATTGATTTTATTGATTTAATCAGGATTTACAGAACCGAATGTTTTGAAATCTTGGAGATGTTTTAAAGTTATTATAAGCATGGTAAATTTTTTATCAAAATGTATTTGCTCATCCCCCCTAAAAAATTGATGACGTCACCCTAAAAGTTTGCTGAATAAATCCCATCTAAAATGTACAAAATATGATGAGCCTGTACTTGTGGTTTATCATTCCATTCATATTTTTGGATTTGCATATACGGGCTGACTCAAAAAAATTAAAGAATGCGTGAATTTATTTGATCGATTTAATCAGGAATTACAAAACCGAATGCTTTGAAATCTTGGAGATATTTTAAAGTTATTATAAGCATGGTAAACTTTTGTTCAAAATGTATTTGTTTATCCCTTCTAAAAAAATTGGTGACGTCACCCTTAAATTTTGCTAAATAAATCCTATCTAAAATGCAGAAAATATGATGAGTTTGTACTTGTGATTTATCATTCCGTTCATATTTTTTAGATTTTCTTAAAGGGTGGCTCAAAAAAATTAATGAAGTCAATTTATTTTATTGATCAAATTAAAGGCAACACTTATTATTAGTATTACATTGGACCAACCCAATTTGGTAGACACAAAATTTTTTAAAGTTAAAACTCGGTTGAAACATAGCTGACTAGGCTCCGCGAATGTGGTATAGACATGTTTTAAATCAACCAATTGTGAATTCCACCGTCAAAAATTAAAATAAAATCCAATGTTTTATATAATAAGCGGAAGTCTACGCAATAAAACCGATTGTCGTTTTGTTTACAGTTTCTTTGTTTGACTCTCACGTATGCTGTTACGCCTGTCATCTTAAATTAAGAATGTTTATACATACACGATTTTCAGTTGCCTCTGATATGTATACGTGAGTAAATTGTTTCGTTATTTTATTGATTATTACAAATCAATATTCAAAACGACCCAATTCATTTTCCCGAAAATTTGAGAATATAATAATTTTATTCTTAGTATTACACTACATCTATCCCAACTGATATACGTGTCCTTGCAAAAATGTTGATGACGTCATCGCAATTTTTTTTAAATTCCCACTACAAAAATGTAATGAGAAAAAAACACAATAGGCATGCAGTCGTCAAGTTTCCGACAGCGAGGGAAGTACTGTCTAAACTCTTTAGACCAATTTTTTATCTTTGTACAACACTTTTATCATCCTGTTAGTTACAGGTGACATTCTATTGACTCTCCCAATTACACCTAAATATTTAAGGCAAGGAAAATTCCAACAATATGTTTCCATCAGTGTTTTTTGTGTAGAAATCATTACAGGATTATATTTGTATGTTGCTCACAACATTAAACAGTCAATTTTGGAGCAAGTACACTTTAGTGGTCATGGGTGCGTCTATTGTAAGTAGCAACAATAATACCATTCTAAGGCATTTGCAGATTTTTTGCAGTTACTAAACATTCTTTTTTAGTATGAATAATTTGGTTGATTTACACAACAGTGTTTATTTGAATTAAATTTGAATTAATAACAAAATAAATATTGGTAATTCACGAAATGCAGCTCTCAAACGCTTTTTTAGTCTTGAAAGGAATTTGATCAAAAACCCACACGTTAAAACAAATTATGTAGATTTCATGTTAGAATACCAAAATTTAAATCATATGGAATATTTAAGCCAACCACCCAACGACAACAATTGCGTTTATTTGCCTCACCACGCCGTGCAAAAGGAGTCTAGTACGACAACAAAATTAAGAGTTGTTTTTGACGCGTCGGCAAAAACTTCAAATAAACAAAGTCTAAACGATAATTTGCTAGCTGGGGCGGTATTACAACAAGACCTATTTTCAATAATAGTACGCTTTAGAACATTTCAGTACGTGTTAAACGCTGATATAGCGAAAATGTATCGTCAGATTAAGATACATCCCAACGATACGAATTATCAATTAGTTCTTTGGCGGAATCATCCATCCGAACCACTAAATACGTATCGTCTTTTGACACTAACATATGGTACTAAACCGGCAAGTTTTATTGCTACGCGGTGTTTGAAGGAGTTAGCTGATCAAAACCAAGCTAGGTACCCTATCGCGAGCGAAATCATTCGTTGAGATTTTTATATGGACGACCTTTTAACCGGGGCTGACTCGATCGAAGATTTAACTGAAATAAAAAATGATGTAACGGCCATATTGAAACAGGGTCAATTTGAACTGCGAAAATTTCAGTCAAACGAACTAAGTGTTGTATCTAATAATGATAATTTCCATGATTCGAACGTACAATTGCATAAGGATAAATTTACAAAAATTTTAGGTTTGTGTTGGAACCCAACCGTCGATAATTTAAGTTACGAGATTATACTGAAAAATATACCTAATAAAGTAACCAAACGTGCCATACTTTCGGTAACGGCCCAAATATTTGATCCGTTAGTGTTGCTCGGACCCATCATAATGCATGCTAAATTAATTTTGCAACGTTTATGGACGCTAAAACTGGGTTGGGATGAATCAGTACCTCCCGATATATATACGTCTTGGATTACCTTTTTAAGCAGTTTGAACCATATACGTCAAATTAAAGTGCCAAGAAAAGTTATACCCGTTGCATTTTCCGACATTAGCGAAATGTCCACACTCTTAATACGCATTGAAGCATGTTTAAATTCAAGACCTTTGACCCCCTTATCGTCCGATCCCAACGACCTGAGCATCCTAACACCCGGTCACTTCCTCATCGGAGAGCCATTAACTTCCTTTCCAGAATACGATGTGACGGAGGTGCCGATTAATAAACTGTCCCGATGGCAATTAGAAAAAATTCGCACGCATTTTTGGCGACGCTGGAGTCGCGAGTACCTAACGCAACTGCAAACAAGATCCAAATGGCAGAAACAGCAAGAGCATTACAGAAGAAAATGTACCAGCTCTCACATGGAAAACCGGACGGATCACGGTTTTCATCCAGGCGACGACGGTGTAGTGCGGGTGGTAACAATCAAAACTGTTCATGGACTCACCAAACGCGCCTTACGTAAAGTGTGCGTTTTACCCATAGTGCGCGATCAATTGACATTACTTATGATGCGAACTGACTATTATAGGGGTTTTTCACGTTTAGACATTTTGGTACAATTTTCAATTTTCCAGGCTACCCCTCTAGGCCAGCCAGTCGTAATATGTTGAAGGGCGCACCTTCAAGAGGGGAAGTCATGTGTGGTACCACCCGAAGTTCTCGGCCGCTCGGCTCTCGTCGGGTGTTCGGTACCACCCCCAATATTACTCATCACCGCCCTCCTGGACGAACGAGTGGCGGACGCAGAGTCACCAACAACCCGTCAACGGGCACGCGTCGCAAAAACACATAAATACTTTCATCATATAATATATATATTGACATGTACATAATAATCAATAAATCGTTGTTAAAAGTGCACGTCGTTCCACAATTAATAATCACTACAGTTTCCACACCGGCCTTGTCGGGATGACAAATACTTGTTAGTTAGCCGTATCGTATCATACCTGGACTTGACCATTGAAGTACACTTACTGAAGACCCTTTCTGTGAATAGGTTCCGGTCGTTTGGGTAATCAAATTTTATTATAGGATTGGGAAAATACTCCATAGATTTTATGACTTTAAATCCTTACTTCCGTCGATAATGAATTAAAGCTTTTAACCAGATGTTCTTTTTTGGCATTTTGCGGCAAGACTGTTGAAGATTTTATAGAAAAAAGGATTATTGTACCCAACTACCTACCTTAAAATGTTTCTAATGGAAACTTTTGTGTAAATGAACCGTTTATTTCACAGCCATTAGTCTATCGCATCTGTCGTATTACAGTCCTCCCTTGTTACATGTTGAGTTCTTTTTGGTAATATTACTACTATTTTAAAAGAATGCCGAAAGTAAAATCGACGCCGGATGAGTGGATAAGGGATTTTCCAGAATTAAAATTAGAAAACAACAAAATGTTCTGCCGAGCTTGTGTGAAAACCGTAAGCCCACTAATTTTTTTTTATCTATTTTCCTTTGTTAATCCTGTATATGTACGTTGTTTTAGATTCAAAGTGATAAAAAATATAACATGACACAACATGTCGGAACGACTCTTCATGTAGAAAGGAAGAAAATGTTTGAAGTTTCTAAAATTAAACAGCAGACCATACATGAATCTGTTGCATCTACTTCCAAAAAAGATGAGCAGTTTCAGTTTAATTTCGATTTATGTAAAATGATGATCCAGTCCAATATACCTTCCAAAAAAATTGGAGAAAGGCCCTCTTCAAGAATTCCTTGAAAAACACTGCAATCGACAAATTCCGGTTGAAAGTACTCTCCGAAAAAATTATGTAGGCCCAGTGTTTCAGCAAGTTTACAACGAATTTAAACATCGCATTGGAGATAATTATTTATGGTTCGCTGTCGATGAAACAACCGATTGTTGTGGAAGATACGTGGCAAGTTTAATTGGTTGAATCTTAAATGAAAATTTCCCTAGTCGAGGGTATGTAGTAAGTTTGAAAATGTTAGATAAAACAAATGGCAATACGATTACCAGATTTGTAAACGACAGTCTTACGTCACTATTTTTGCCAAATGCCGTACCGGCGAATAAAATTTTATTGATGATCTCGGATGCAGCTCGTTATATGTTGAAAGCAGGGAATAATCTAAAAATATTGTACCCCAATTTAATTCACTCTACTTGCATTGCCCATGGTTTAAACAGAGTGGCGGAAGGAATACGTTTGCAGTTTCCTACTGTTAATAAATTAGTGGCAAATGGTAAAAAGATTTTTGTTAAAGCCTCACTAAGAGTGCAACATTTTAAGGAAAAATTTCCAAACATACCATTGCCCCCAGAGCCGATTATAACGAGGTGGGGAACATGGTTACAAGCCACATTTTATTATGACAAATATATCAAAGAATTTGAGGAAGTACTTACGGAGTTTAGCGAAGATTCTTCTCAATCGATTAAAGATTGCATAAATATTTTGGAAAACAAAGATTTGCGACAAGATCTAGCTTTTCTAAGAAGCAATTATCAATTCGTATGTGAGGTAATAGAAAAGTTAGAAAAACCCAACATGTTGTTGGTAGATGCCATAAACTTAGTGAAAGAATTTAAACAACAAGCAAACGCAGTAAGGGGTGATATTGGTACTAGAGTATCTCAAAAAGTTGACGAAGTGTTAAATAAAAATGCAGGTTTCGGTGGTCTTTCCGACGTTGTTCGTGCTTTACAAGGCCAGAAGGTGGAAAATTTGGAGTTAGATTCAACATTAGTTGCAAAATTCAAATTTGCACCAACAACGAGTGTGGATGTTTAACGCACATTCTCCAATTTTAAACACATTTTAAATGATCGGCGAAAAAAATTTACAGTGGACAACTTGGAACATATTACAATCATAAATTGTTTTAAAGAAAACTGAAATACGTGTGTAAAATATAAAGTCTAGGATTTTTGTAATAATATTTTATACAAAGTTCTAAGAAGTGTTCTTTGATTTGTAATACGATTATGTTTGTAATGTTTTTTTGCTTAAAATAACTATTTTTTAATGAAAGTGTTATGCTTATTTAATGCTTTTTTGCTTAAAATAAAACTATTTTATTGAAAATGTTGTCTTATTTAAGCGCTTATTCTTAATTTTTTTGTGCTTATAAATCTGCTCTCTAATTATTATCCAATAATATTCCTTTATAAGTTTATAACAAGGAGAAGTCGTGGCATCGATTTAGTGTTTTATTATGCTCTCCGACAAAAAATTTCAAATAAAAATAAACTCTAAGTGAAATATAATAGCTTTACAAGGAGTTAGTTTAAACTGCAAAACAAAGTTAAAAACAGTTATCATTTATCGACTACATAATAGTTACTTAGAATTTAGTTCTGTCTAACATTAACATTCATCGCACACAACTCATTTGGTTCACTTGAGAAGTACCTAACTAAGTAATTAACAAATTAACTAACTAACTAACTCAATTGATGCATTAACGGATGTTGATTTATAGTTATAGTAAACAAGAATGACAAAAAATTTCAAGAATTTATTACAAGGTAAGTGGATGAAAATTTTCTTACATTTAATTCTTTTGCATACTATTGTAGATGATATTTTGTCCGAATTACGGGATTGGCCTTTAGTTCTTATACGCTACAAATGGCTAAGAATTTTATTAATAGGGTCCTTTGCGTATTTAGTGGTAGAAACGTTTATTTGTGGCTTTGTTTGTTTTACGGTACTCGAAGCTGAATTAAGGGGGAATTATTCTATCTTCGGATTAAGATCTATCATTGTAAATAGAGTAGATTCTAAATGTTAAAATTTTAAATTTATTCACTTAACATTTTAGTCATTGTGCTCCTATGTCACATTTTTTTCCAAACAAAAAGAATTTCAAAAAACACTCTGGGATTTTTTTCCCAAATTTTGGAGTTTGCACTGCATAAGCGAAAAAGTTTACAGACAATTAAAAAGGAGTGCAAAAATTGCTAGAATTGTCAGTGTGTTTACAATTACTTTGATAGTTGTCGGTGGACTGCTTATTCTTCCTATTACTGGAAATGAATATGATTTTTATTTGCCCATTAAAATCTATGTGGACTACGTAGGGAAGGGAAACACTTTGTTTATTATATTTTTTTATATATCTTTTGTTTATATTGGTTTAATTATAATTTCCCCTTCGCTTTGCTTGACGTATCTAACAGTACATCTCACATTTCAGTGTTTTTTGTTGAGTGAGAAGATTAAACAAATTGGTAACTATTTGCTTAAGTGTCAACAACAAAACAAAAAAAATGAGGAAAGCTCTCAAACGTATGTTCGCAAAGAATTAATGCATTGTGTATTACTTCATCAGATCTTAATCCAGTAAGTAGTTATTACAATGAAAATTACAAATATCGAATGTTTTATCCAAGCTATTTAATATAGTAGGTACTCACCGTTTATCTATTTTTTATCGTCCTTTTTAAGAAAATTTATTTTTGTTTTACACCGATTTATAAAAAAACAACTAATAATTGAATTTTATCTTGTTTTGATATTGCTACTAAAAATAAATCGACCTTTGTCACCACCTACT